CAGGAGAGGTCTGCCACGCCATGTGGTCACCTCCGGGGCAGGCGGGAATCGAACTCATGAGGAAGCGGCTTTAGACTATCAGTGCTGTGCTTTAACCCGCTGCGCCACCAGGGAGGGCCTGTCTCTATTTTTTTTTAAAGATTTATTTATTTTATTCATACAAGAACTGGGGTACAGGCCAAAGGTGTGGGGGTGAGAGGATTCAACAGAACAGAGTGGGGAGCAGAAAAGACAGACTGACTTTACACTGCTGAGGGGAGCAGCAGGCAGGTCAGGAGAAGTCTGCCTCACCATGTGGGTTAGCTCCCTGGCTGGGAATCAAACTCATGCTGAAGCAGCTACATGTAGCTTCATTTCAATGCTGCATTTCAACCCTTTACACCCCCCAAGGAGGGCACTTCTGTCTCTATTTTACATGTGGAAAAATGGAGCCTGGACATGATCAAGTGATAGGTCAGGTCCCATCCAGGATTCAAATACATACATACTAAGTCCTGATATCAGCAAGCAACAAAGGAAACTGCCAGCTCAGGTCATCAGAGGAACTGGTACTTACACATGTTTTGCACCTGAGTTCATCTTCAGATCATGTTTGATCAACCTGATGATGCACTTGAGATCATTGGCTGTACACCTGGGGAGATGAGGCACATTCTTGGTCTTAGCAGAACTGTGGACCTTCAGCCCTTCTTTCCTAGATCATTCCATCTCTCTCTGTTTTATGTTAGGTTTAGCCAGAAATTGCCAAACCTCCAGAGTACTATGTAAGCAAATGTAGTATTACTCAAGTTTGTTTTCTTTTTCCTAATATAGTATTTGTTTTAAAAAAAAAAAATTTTTTTTTTTTTGAAACTGAGGTAACATTAGGATCTACCATCCCACATCTCCCCCCAGATTCCATCTTTCCAAGCCCATCTCTGTTAGGCACCTCCCTACCTGGAGGCGATGTCCTGCAGGGCCTGTTGCTGCTCATCCTCTTTGGTGAGCGTGGAGAGCTGCAGGAGGAATTCATCCACCTCCTGGATGGTAAGGAGGCTCTTGGCAGCTGGGGGGAATGACTTGCTCTGCTCGAAGAAGACTCTGATTGTCTCTGACACATCACCCTGTCTCCAAAAGCAAAATGCCCAAAGTGACCAAGTGTAACCCCAAGCCCTCAGAACTAAAGATGAATGATTGAGATTTCAACCAATCCTGTCTCCGCTCATACACACTGACCTTACTTCTTAGAGGATCCTTCCCACCCACAGCTCCTGGCAAGGGCACCTCCATCCACCAATGAATCTGCCCACTTCCCTTATCTGAGAAGGGAGACAAGAACTAATCCAGGACTGAATCAACTTGATGACCCTTATAATTTGAACCAGAGACAATATGGCCATCAGAGAATGTGAGTGCTTGGTAAAAACTTGCCATGTTGCCAAGATGAAGTCAGGGACAAACTAAGGCTGAATGGTAAGCTCGTGTTATAGGGAGAAAAAGCAGAGTTCAGAATGAGAACCCTAAAGAAACAGCAGCAAATCGTGATACCTAAGATCTAGGCTTTTCATGGCAGCAATACTACTGGCGTCCTCAGAAACTCGTCAGCTAACAGATGTCGCCTCACACCCAGCTTCCCTCCAAACAGAAGCCTGTTCAAATGGGTTTCAGTTTCCTAGAACAACAGTGCTCCAACCACAAGAGAGAGCATGCAGTTGCCTGGCTTGGCAGAACCCCACCTGGAATGTTGCCTACCCCCCAACCTCGCCTCCCTCTGACCTGCTCTAGGTCTCGTGCCATATCATCAGGGTTGCAGTTAAAAATGCGGCTGAAAAGCTTCACAATCTGCTTATCATTCAAGTTGTAAACACTCTTAATAACACCTGGCAGCAGCAGCTTCACTGTTAGGTATACATCGCCATGGAAACCGTCTGAAAATAGAAGAAAGAAACCCTTCTTAAGAAATGGAACTTAAACAAATACATAACCTCAAGGAACTGAAAGAGATCTTTTTATCACTGCCTTGTCCCCACAGTACCCTGGACATTTCACCTTTAGTAGCAGAACAGCACTCAGGGGCTGGTGTTTTATGTATGTCTCCTCTTTCCTGCACAGAGGAACTGCTGCAGCATGGAGTCATGACTTTCACTTAAGTATCCCCAGTTATGAGTATGTTACAGATGTTTAAGAATGAGTTGTTAGATGAATGAAAAGGAGTTGGGAGATTCTATTCCAAGCTTTGCGTGTGGGTCACAAAAACCTAATTATACACACAAGCAGTGTATCTGGTCAAATGCAACAGTTATTCTAGCCTCTGAGTAGAATAAAGGCAGAGGAAGAAAGATGCCAGTGCACTCTTAGCCTAACTGGTAGCATACCTCACAGAGCCCAATGCAAAATGAAAACGCAGGGCTCTCTGTTCAGCATTATTAAGGGTTTCAAGACTGTGCGAGCAGAGCACAAAATTCAGCATAGGGCCCTGTGCAACTAACTGCACAATGCACATGTCCACGAAGTCATCCTGGGTCTGAGCTCTCCAAAGGAAGAGCCCATCCCGGAGGCTCTAGTCCCCACCTCCTGCTGAGCCTTTCCGTAGGAAGTCTTGGATGATCTGCGTCTTTGTGTTGTAGCTAGGATTTTCAGCCACATTGGCACACAACTTCCGAAATACTCGTAGCAGACAATCCTTGTGCTTGGGGTCACACTTGCTTGAGGACAGACTTGTCTGAAGGGGAGGGCTTGAGTGGACTTCCCCAGAATTGTTGGGCTTGGCTATTGGAAAGAGAAAAAGAGAGAAAGAAATAGTAGAGATGATTCACTCTGCCTGGCTGAGAAGGAAGAAAGGGAAACTAACGGGCATACTGCTGGTACTCCATAAGCAGATGCTTCATCCCCAAAAACAGCCCCTTGAATATTACATTCATTTTACAGGTAAAGAACAGAGATGAAGGAGCTTTCCCAATCCCACAGCTATTGATGGTAAAGAAAGTATCTTCACGCCCAGCAGAGGACCAACTGAGGTGCGTCACTTCATATGCGCACTTCACAAAAGAACAAAGGTGACCTCTGTGCCAAAATGGTCAGGGGGATCTCAAAGTGACTATAAAACTGATTTCAGAATATTTGGGGTAAAGCAGGAAGAAAGGCCCTACCTGGTGGCACAAGGGGTTAAAGCGCAACACCATGAAGCTATCCACACCACTGTAGCACCAGTTCAATCCCCAGCCAGGGGAGGAGGCACAGATGGTGCAGCAGACCTCTCCTGTCTCCTAAGCAGTGTATTTCAGTAGATCTGCCTGTTCTGCTCCCCACTCTGTCTCTGCTGAATCCTCTCACCCCCTGCACCTCTGGCCTGTACAAGCAATCATGAATGAATACATGAATGAACATATGAACGCATCAATAAATGCATGAATAAATAAATTAATTAAAAGAGGGAAGAAATCAAAGGACATGCTGGTCAATGTGAAATAACTGCTTTTGCAGATTGCTGTTGTTGGAAGAAGCCTTAAAGATCACCTAGCTCAATCTCTTCTTACCAACCAATGAGATACTAAGGTCTGAGGAGAGAATAACTCTACAATAACACTCAACAGTGCAAAGCCAATACAAGAACGCCAAGATAGCCAGATCCCACTAGTGTGCTCCCAGCTTCCCAAGCCCTCATCACTTCCACCCCACCCCCATTACTGCTTCATTAACTTTCTTTTTTTCCTAATATTTTTTTAGAGATTTATTTATGCATACAGAACTAGGGTACAGGCCAGAGGTGCAGGGGCGATGAGAGGATTCACCCTCTGGAGGCAGAGTGGGGAGCAGGGCAGGAAGATTGATGAAGCACACTGCTGAGGGGAACAGTGGACAGGTCAGGAGAGGTCTGCCGTGCCATGTGGGTCACCTCCGGGGCAGGGATCGAACTCATGCTTAATTGATTTTAGCTTCTTAGTGCTGTGCCACCAGGGAGGGCCCTAATTTTTTAAAAAAAGATTTACTTATGTATATAAGAACTGGGGTACAGGCCAGAGGTGTTGGGGGAGGAGAGGCAGGGAGAGGGTCTACCAGAGACAGAGTGGGGAGCAGAACAGGCAGGTCAAGTGAAATACACTGCTGAGGGAAGCAGCAGGAAGGTCAGGAGAATTCTATTCTGCCACGGCATGTGGGTCACCTCCCTGGCCAGGCATTGAACTTGTGCTACAGTGACTGCCAATAGCTTGAGTTCTGAGCTTTACCCCACTGCACCACCAGGGAGGGCCTTTCTTATAGTCAAAATAAAAGTTAGTCAATGAGCAGGGCTTTCCTCCAGATACCAAAAAAATCATGTATAGCAGGTCTTTGAATAGCTTTAGTAAACACTTTTATTGTAACAGCAAAATCTGTATCATATCAATCTTACTTAATATAAAGATTGCCACCTGCTCAGTCTTGGGTTCCCACCCTCCAGATGATTTTTCCTTTCTGAAATAGTTACACTATATAGGTAGCGACTATGTCCCATGAACAAATAAAAAATGAATTTTTTCTAGCTGTCCATTAGTTTTATTTTCAATAAGGAGAAGTATATTTGGATTTTGTATATACATCTAGTGGGAATATTCTTAAATTTTTTTTAAATGGGATACAGTACTACAAGTGGTAGCTTTTTCCTCAAACTGTCTATTGTAGGACAAAGAATGAATGAAACTAAGAAGTGATGTCTGTCAAGGAAACGTGGCTTTGCAATGACCTTCCAAGAGCTTACAATATTTAAGTGAGGATTTAGTGTACATGTCGCCCACTCAGCTGCAGGGAACCACTTACAGCACATTTCATTATGTGAACCTGTAACAGGGCCATTAGCAATTGAAAGGCCAAGAATGCCATCACCTTTCTTCTAGACTTCATCTCCATTTCAGGTAAGTTTGGGGATAGAGTTTTGTAAAATTCTCTCATATCAAAAATAATGACATAAAAAGGGAAGATGACAATAACCTGTCTGATCCAGGTAACTACTTCAAGGAGAAAAAGTCTTGACACAACAAAAAATAGGAGCCCAAAACATGACTGCAAGTTAAAAGGAGAATCTAACTTACCTGAAAAGCCAGAAAACTTCCGGGGATTGGTGTTGCTGACAAATGAGGTGCCTTTTGTTGGAGATGTCACCTGGCCAGTGGCTGTCAACTTAGCTTGAACAACGGCTTTCTTCTTTGGTGTGCTCGCTGATTTAGAAGACAGATCTGTAGGGCCCCAAAAGAAGGGGAAATATCTTACAGTGAAAGATCCCTGAGAAAATTTCCCAAGAATCAACCAATTGTTCTTAGGGCCTCACTTGGTGAGGTATGATGGCATTACCCCCAAGTCCGAGTGGTGGTTAGCCAATCTGTCCCAGTGGAGGTAGTAGGTAATAGGGCTTTAGGATGGGGTGTTTTAGGGACAAGAGACCCAGTTATCCTTTACATCCATTTCTAACTTTAATTTTCATCAGCAAACTCCACCTCTTATCCCATGTATAATAGTCTCCAGGTTATTTGAGAATCAGAAATCACAACTAAATGGCCAAAACTTGGGGATCCCAGCTTGTGGACTGAGCAACAATTTTATAAATAAACAAAAAAGTAAATAAATACAGGTAACAAGCCATATGGGTTGGCACAGGCAGGAATTTTTCCAACTGTTAAGTCTTTTGAGCTATGTGACAGTTTAACTCTACCTTGCATTTCTCTTCCTCTGAATTGAGATGGGCCAAGAAGTAACAAAAGCTGAGACCTGTGAATAAGGCAGGGCATGGTAAAGTAGGATGGGAAGCTTGAGAATAGAGTAGAGGAAAGTAGCTTCTTTCTTTTTCCTCTCAAAGAACAAGGATAGATGTCCACTTCCAGAGTGCTCCTACAATGACCAGAACTAATTGAATTCAATTGTTAACTGAAACTATGGATATTATTTTAAAGATGAGGATACCAGAGGTCATAAAAGAGTAATTGGATTTGAAAGACTTAGCATAAGAATTCTAGAATGTGTACATACGTATGTATGCTTCCTAGATATGTATCTCTGTGTGTACATAGGTGTTCTGTGTATATACATGTCTGCCTTCTTACTCTGTCTCTTAAAAGGACTTTAGAAGCAAAGACACTTCAGGGTAACAAGCTATATAAGCATCCAGACTTTGGTGTCTACTACCTTTTCTCCACTCTCAGAAATCAGGACTCGTCAAAGAAATGGCTGATATCAGGGCTGGAGCAGGATACATACAAATTAAGCTTAAGAGCATCCTGTTATGTCAGAGTAAGAAATACCTTAAAGATACTTATTTTCACTGATCAGGGCGCCTAGGACATAGAACCTCGCTTGAAGGGCGCTCCCAACTGGCAGAATACCGGATAATTGTGATAATTAAGTATCAAAATTAAGTACATCAACATTTAAGCCACTTGAAAAAAGTAGTAACTCATGTGAGCCCACACAGATAATAGCTTGATATATAAAGGGGGTGATGGCAGGTACTCTGTTCTTTAGAAATGTCAATGTCATAAAGAAAGACTAGGAAATGTTCCAGATTAAAGGAAGCCAGAGATATGACAACTAAATATAACACCTGATTCTAAATTGGGATTTTCCACTAGAGGAGGAAAAAAAAACTACTAAGATATTATTTGATCATTTGACAGATCTGGAATACAGATGGTAGATTAAGGTATCATAAAAATGATAAATTTACTAAAGTTGATAGCTGTATTAGTCATGTAAAAGAATATTCTTATTCAAGGTATACATACTAAAGGAAAAGAACCATGACATATGCAAATCACTCTCAAACAGTTAAGGAAAAACTGTATTTGTGGAAAGAGTAATAGAGAGCACATGAACACAAACTATAAAAAAAAGTAGAATGTTAACAATAGGTATGCCTGGGTAAATTCAACAACAGGATTAGCCTTCTTTGTACTATTTTTATTCTTGTTAACTGTTCTGAGTTTGAAATTATTTTCAAGTAAAAAATAGGAACAATCAAAAAAATGGATTCTCCTCTCATCTTTTTTTCTTTCAACACCAGTAAAATAAGAAAGCAATATTCTCTACCTCACCTGCAATGTGCTGACTTATCTGTTCCTTCTCATTATCTTCCAGCTCCTCCCAGCCTTCCAGTTCAGTGAGGTCCTCGATTTTCTTTGTGGTGGCCCGGGCACGTTCCAGTTTCTCAAACATGCATTTAATGTGGTACCACTCCTTCATATCACCCCCAGATTCTGAGAAGGGGTTGGGTACCACTTTGCCAATTCGGCATACACCCTTCACAATCTTTTCCTTGCATTTTTTGCAGCCAGCTGTGCCACGTTTGGCATAGTCCACACAGAAGCGCTGCTCAGCCATCTTACTGGGACCACTGCACAGTCCCACATGCGACCCTGGCAAGAAAACAAGGCAGGAGACACAGGGCCTTAATTTGCCTCCCTGGAATGACAGAGCAGGCTTTCTTCTCTGGGGGAAGCAGTGCCCCTGAAGCAGATCTGTATCTGACCACTGGCTGAATTGTCTTATGTTAGGCGGATGATGTTTTCGGAACAGGCAGAGTTCTTTTCGGCTGAATGCACAGAGGGTTGATGAGAAGAGGATCTTGAAAGTCAAAGTCATACAGCTGTATAGAAAGGGTGAGATGCAGAAAAAGGTAAATATATGAGATTTCCTATTTCCTCAAAGGTCAAAATCCTAAAGGTCCAAATACTATATAGCCTATGCTAACTAATCAAACACTTCCAGAATGTTAAAGGTTATTGACTTGAGAATGAAATTCCAATACAGGAAAACTCAGTTTGTACAACTATGTTCAATTTGTCAAGTACAGGCATATAGCTAGAAAATCACAAGAGAATTCAGATAACATCACAGCTTTCACAGGTAATATCAAACCTCACACTCATAATGGATGATGACCCTAAGAATTACAAGATCCAGAAGTTTCTCTTTCACCTGCAGGGAAAATTACATTATGTTCATGAACTTTCAAATGAGATGTATAGTCAGTCTTCAAGAAATAAATGATTTTAATAACAAACCCTACTTTGAGAGGTAATTAAAAGGTGTTAAGGATCAGACTGTTTGGGTTGAGATCCTAGCTGTATGACTTTGGTAGGTTACTTCTTCGTTCCTCAATTTCTGAGTGTAAAACTGCGTCTAATAGTACGTAATTCATGGGGGTGATGTGCTGAGAGCAAAGCCTTTGGAACAGAGCTGGGCGCAGTAGGAGTTCAATACTTGTTAACTCCTATTATCCTATAAGTAGAGGCTCCCTATGGATCTTCTTATTTTCTAAGATGTCTTCACAGTTCTAATATTAAATATACTGGAAACGATTTTCAATCTGTTGCGTTGTAGTGAAATTGGTATTGAGTTAAAATGAAAAACAGGTTTGATTCACTGTAGTGCAATACCATGCTGAGGAAGCGGTGGATCCGGAATGGGGGTGCAAGCGCTGAAAGTAGTTTAATGACTATATAGCCTTTAAGAAACCCCTTCATACTTCTGAGTCTCCTTATTCCTAAAACAGGGACAATAATACCTACCTCACGGAATGGGGAAATTAAAATCTGGGTTAAGGAGCAGGGGGAATTCTGAGTTCCCTAAAAAATGTATGCGAAACATGCATGTTCATGAATACACGTTTTGGGGGAGAGCTGTATTTCTCATGAAAGTCACAAACCGCTTTACAGCCTCCAGAAGTTGAAAAACTGCGAGTGTGTTAAACTAGGCAGGCCCAGAAGAGGGGCTGGGAACACCAGAGGTCTCAACACTTTCCTTACAAGTGCGGTGGGCGAAGCAGCCCACGGGTCTGGCTGGGGCAAGCTGACCGCAGCGCTGCATCAGAGGGGCCCCACCCTCCGCGGGGGGTGGGCGGGGAGGAAGGGGAGCGCCCGGCCACGAGGAGGCACGAAGCCGCGGTGGGACCCCCGCGCCTCTCAGCCCCCGCCGGCCGCGGTCAGCACTGCAGCGAAGGGACCGAGAGGGCACCGCCGGGGCTTCACAGGGCAG